CTTTCAGGAGCCCTCGCAGCAGCAGAGACACTGCAGCACTCCTGCCCTGCGCGACTGGTGCCGGGGTGGCGCGTGCTGTTGGTGTCTGTGGGTATGTGTGACAGGGCACCAAGTCTGCCCCAGTGCAGAACTTTGGGGACGAAGGAAAGCAGAAAACGTCCCTTAGGTCCCAGTGCCAGGAGAAAAGGGATATGGCTTCCCAGATGGGGGAGGGAGGGACCCGGATGAAAACATAAACAAAGAGAGCAGGATGGGAAGGGAGAGGGGAGAGGGTGCTGCCTGGGACAGAAGCAGCAGATGGGCTGGAAGGATTTAAAGGGTGAAAGAACTAGGATTATTTAGCTTGGAGAAGAGAAGACTGGGGGTGGGATTTGATATAACAGTCTTCAAATACCTGAAGATGATTAGAGAGAGGATAAAGATAAGCATATCTTTATAGCTGCAGAGGACAAAACTAGGAGCAATGTCTACAGGCTGCAGCAGAGGAAATTTTAGGTTGAAGATTAGGAGGAACTTCCTGACTATGAGGGTGGTCAAGAATTGGAACAGGCTGCCTAGGGAAGCTGTGGAATGTCCATCCTTGGAAATTTTCAAAAGGCTGGACAGACACTTGGCTGAGATGGTTTATTCTGGGACACTCCTACCTTGGGCAGAGAGTTGGACTAGATCTTACAAGGTCTCTTCCAACCATACTTTCGTACAATCCCACGCTGAACAGGTTCAGGTATTTGTTTATTTTAGTGTCAAACAAAAGCGAATTCCCAAACCTTGAAACGCAGTTGATTTCTAGCCAGCCTTAGCCTTGGGTTTCTGGGGTAGGTTTGATCCTTAGAAGCCGAGACCCTGTTCTTGGGGGAAGAGAGAAAAACCCTGGGTACCTCAATGTATTTCCACCTCTCCTCTGTGTTTGGCCCTCTAGGCCAAGCATCTTTGCAGAGTCAGTCTGGCTGGGTGCCTCTCCTCCTGTCCTTGCTGCATGAGTACACAGCCAGAAACTCGTATTGGCAGCCCTACCTCTCGCTTTGGCCTGACCTGAAGAGCTTGGATCACCCCATGTTCTGGTAAGGTTAAAGTGTGTGATAGCATCAGGCTGTTGCAATCCACCAGTTACTGCTCCTGCCCCTGGAGCAGGTGTTCTGGACTCTGGTGCTGTTAATCATGGAGAATCCATGTGGTCGTGAGGCTTGCAGACCTGGGTTGTTCTTGGCTCTGCTCTGTAGCCATGGCCAAGTTGCTGTATCTTCACAGGTCAGTGGCAGTGGGTTGGGGATGTGCATGCATTTGCTTGTTCCATTGGGTAGATAACAGCCTCTGTGGGCAGCCTATCCCTGGTGGTTGTCATGCTCCATAGTGTTTTGGGTGAGTGCTAGTTAGAGTGGAAGCCTGTGTGGCAATCAGGAGAATCACTGGAGGAGGCAAGTCTCTGTCTGATCTGCCTTGGATACAGGCCTGAAGAAGAGAGAGTACGGCTGCTGCAGGGCACAGGCATCCTAGAAGCAGTAGACAAAGACCTGGCCAACATCCACCTGGAGTACACCTCCCTCATCCTGCCTTTCATGGAGTCCCACCCAGACATCTTTGATCCCAAGTTGCACACCTTGGAGCTATACCAGAGACTTGTGGCATTCGTCATGGCCTATAGGTGAGAGGAAGAAGGGCACTTGTGGATAATGGAGCCAGCTGCAGGAGGCCTGAAATGAAGCCACCAGCTATTTCTCCTGGGTGGACAAGGAATGTCTTCTAGGGATTTCTGATACTTCGGCAGTGAAGGGTGGGTGGTGGAAGAGGCTTTGAAGCCATTACAGCCTCTACACAATCCACCTTTGGTCCCCTGCCATTTGAGAGGGCAGGCTAGTCTCTCAGTCACAGGCCCAGGTTGACTTAGTTCTGCCAGGCATAGAATAGGCATGTCCTCATCCCTCCTTTCCCTTCCAAACAGCTTTCAGGAGCCTCTGGATGAAGATGAGGATGAGAAGGAGCCTAACCCTCCAATGATGGTGCCAATGGCTGACATCTTGAATCATGTGGCCAGTAACAATGCCAACCTGGAGCACTCCCCAGTGAGTAGACTGAGATGTGATTGGAGAGCAAGTTCCAACACAGATGGGTGTCATGGTTTGTTACTCCTTTCCCCCCCCCCACCTATCGGGCCAGTCTAACTGGAATGTCTCTAGGCTGGTGGTGTGGCTCCCCTCTGTCCATCTCCCTTTTGGTGGAGAGTGCTGCTTGTACTGCATGTCCCTCTCTAGAGGTTCACAGAGTGTAAGACCACATGTCACTCCTAGGTCTGATAGTCTGACCACCAGTTTACCAGGCCACCAGACTTCACCCAGTTTACCCTTCTGTTGAGCCCAGGAACTGGTGACTACTCTGTTGCTTTGGTGGCCTGGTTATCAAAGGTTTCACTTTGCTCTGGATGTCAAACTTCCACTCCCCAATCCAGCCATTGGATCTACCAGTGTTTTTTAGTCTGTGCCAGTAGCATGGGGACTGAGGAATCTACACTGGGACACATCAGCCTGTTGGCATATTGGGGCAAGCTGCCTCTAGGAGACTAATGTCCCAGCCTGCAGAAGGGTAGTGAATAGCACTAGCCTAATAATAACCTACATAGAGGCTAAAGTTTTCCTGTAAAACAAGGACAGGCAACATCAGGGAAAGGATTTTGTGGTCAGCTGAGCCACCTAAAAGTTGCATATGTTATAGAAGCAGGGTAGGAGCCCAGGGTTTAGCAGGTAATGTGACACTTGCTCTGCACAAGGCAGCAGCTGGGATGCTGGGGAAGAGCTAGTAGCTTCTTTCTTAAGGGGGAGGGAGGCTGCCCATAGGTTTCTTGATGTGCCCCAGAATCGCCATAAAGTCTTGTTGTGGGGAGCCAGGGAATGCAGCCACCACATTGTGAGGCCAGTGGCTTATACTCTGCTTATGTCCCATTCTTCTATGTGCAGGAGTGTCTGAGAATGGTTACGACACAGCCTGTCTGCAAAGGGCAAGAGATCTTCAATACATATGGACAGATGGCGAACTGGCAACTTGTGCATATGTATGGCTTTGCTGAGCCATACCCGGGCAACACCAATGACACAGCTGACATCCAGATGGTGACAGTGCGTAAAGCAGCGCTGCAGCGTGAGTTGCTCGCGGCAGTTGATGTTCCACATGTACTTGCAGTGAGCAGGACAGCCTGTTCCGAACGCCTTGCCAGGAATGGCCTCTGGGCAGGGGCTGGACTGTGCGGGGTGGGTGGTTCCTGGGGGATCAGCAGTTCCAGACAGGCATCTGAAATCATTCATGGGTTTGAAAATCCTGGGCTGGTGTGTAAATCTCTTGCTCCTTACAGGGAGCGCATGCTTGGTTGATGTCTCCTGTCATCCACAGGTGCCAGAACAGCAGTGGAGCAGCAGCTGGTGTCAGAGCAGTGGGATTTCCTCTGCCAGCTGGAGATGGTTGGGGAGGAAGGTGCTTTTGTGATTGGCTGGGAGGAGGTGTTAACTGAGGAAGAGCTGTCCATGACCCTGAAGGTGAGTGGTTCTCCATGCCAGTGAGGCAGTTGTGGGTTCTACTCCCAGCACTGATCCTGGCCCCTGGAATAGCATTCTCCAAAAGCCTGGGCAACTTGTGCTACTTTCCCAGATAGCTACAATTACAGTTGCTGGCTGACTGAATTCCATTGCAGGAAAGTAGTAAGCATCCCTCCCCACCCCCCAAGTCTCAATTTCAAACATTTTCCTTGCCCCTGCAATAGCAGTCAGGCCTGCTTTCAGCACTGAAACATCCTGACAGAGAACCATGGAATTGCCTGCTTGCTGGGCAAAGCTTTTACTTGTTTTTTCTCTGCAATGTCATAGGCCCAAATTTAAGTGAAAACATTTGCAGGTGTTCAGATCCTAGTGCACAAAAGTGGCTGGATCTCCTCAGTCAGTGAATTCTGGCCCCTGCTCTGTATCTCATGCAGCATCTTCCATAATGTGATCTAGCTTCTGGGAGGCTGATTTACAATAGTATTTGTCACAGTTAAGAAGTTTCTAATACCAGCCTAGGTTAGGTTACTTACGGTCAGTTTATACCCATTTGTGTCCCAAAACTGTCCTTTAGCTTAAAATCAGGTTTTATTCTTCTGGTGCCTGTCCCTGCACTATTTAGAGAGAACAATTCTCTTCTCAAAAGCTCCCAATTCCACCCCTCCCATGTTCCTCTCCTGCCCCCAATCTCAATAACCCTCACACACATCTGCCCCAGTTTGAATTCATTTTTTCTTAATGTGGAGCCTGGAGCTTTAAAAAGATACCAACCTTACCTTCTCTGCAGTCCTTTCTGCACCGTGCCTTGTTAACTGAAAATCAATAAATCTTTGCTAAGCCCATTTTATTTGTGCCCCAGTTGAAGGCCAGTTAACTTATACCCTCCCCATAGCAGATCAATATAATGGTGTAAGTGGGAGCTGAGGAATTTTATGCCCCATCTCAAACATCATTCCATGTCAGGAGGTGGCTGTTTCCTGGTCCCCAGGATTGTCAGCACTGGCTCAGGACAACTCTGGATTTGGAACATTTAAAGTACGAGGCGAACTAGTCACAAAGAGGTTCCACAACTAACATGAAATCCCTTTGTGGCTGGTTTGCCTTTTTACCATGCTATAAATTGGCTGAATGCATGAGTATGCAATTTATGGAGTAATTAACATATCAATATTGTCATAAATTTTACATCTTTCAAGGCCCCTATTAGTCACTCTCAGTCTTCATATTTTTAGGGGAACAAAAATCCATTAGGGGTCAAAAGCTGGAAACAGACCTTAGGATCAAGGTCCTAACTGTCAGCATCACTTCTCTAGCCCAAGATCACAATAAGTGTGTGTGGGTGTGGTTGGTTGTAGGTGCTCTGCATGTCTGTGGAGGAATTTGAAGAGTTTAAAGAGAAAGACGGCTGGGAGGAAGATACCAGTGAGGAGGAGGAGAGCATGCTGTCTAATGAGATGATACGCAAGATGAAAGCCTCATGGAAGAAGTTGCTCCATGACAGTGTGCTGCTGACACTTGCATCTTACAATTCAGACTTGAATGCAGAGCAGGACTTGCTGAATGACAAGGTGGCTTATGGCAAACTGAGCCAGAGAGAGCGGCAAGCCTTACAAGTGCGCTACGGGCAAAAGAAAATCTTGCATCAGCTGCTGGAGTTGGTGCAGTAGAGACAGAACTGCATAGCGGGTAGCACAAATGCAGTCTGGAATTGCAGCTGGGGTCAAGCTATGGGCAAAGGAGCATTGTACCATCTATACCAGGGCCAATGGTGGGTATGGCCATTGGGCACCAGGAAGACCAGAGGGCAAGCTTTAAATGAAGTCTCTTGCATTGGGCTGTTGTTTCTAGGTTTTCTGGATTTGCTTTTTGTCTACCTCTTGTATATATTTTATATAAAAGACTTGTCTTAAGGATGTGGAAGTGATTTAATATGGCCACGAACTTCCAACCTTTGGAAGTAAAAGGTTCCCCCCTAAACCTCCTGTGAGATCAGGAACCAACATGGCAAAGCAGCAGAGAATACCAGCAGTTCTTGCCTTGCTCAGATTTGAGCTGTTTTATTGTTTATTCCTGTAAATGAAGGATTAATTCCCCTTCAAGGCCAATACTCTGAAGCCACAGCTCTTCCAGGTTTCTATGCCTTAAATGGATATCTGCAAGGGAAACCTTAACTTTAAGAGCAGCTGCAAAATAAATGCTCTTTTTACCTGGATTTTAAGGGAGAATTAATACCTGGTAGAAGGTTGATCTGTTCATGCGGATAGTTGTTCAGCCATCTTCTGCATGCACCATGACACATCAGTGGAAAACTAGGCTTGGGCACATGGGATGTCTGCAAAGACAACTTGCTTCTGTTACCCCAGTCTTAGGAGGCTGAATGTTCATTACTGGAATCTGATTTTAGTCCTACAGCTTAATTTGAAGTAGGTACAGATTTAGCAGCCTTAGTTTCTGCTGAGAATTTCCTCAAGGAGAATACAAGGAGCTGATGCTGCCCTAAAGTAAGGAAGGTCTTTACCAGAAGGCTTTCCCTCTATGCTCTTTGGAACAGATTCATTCCTTCTTGCCAAGTAATGTAGGCCAAATCATGCTCTTGGTTTAAGCCAAAAGATGCTGCATAGCTTATACTGGCCGACGTGTACAGGATAAAGTGTGATATATTCCAGGGCAGTAGTTCTCAATCTATTTACCAAAGCAGTAATGTGTTATGTGGGCTGCACCCACACAACTTAGTTCCTGTGCATCTATTTAAAAAATTATTTGGTATCCATTATCTGCCAATAGTGTAGGATGTCACAGAGGCAGTGCTTTACGGAGTAGAAATATCTTTTACAGTAAAACTGGCATGTCCTAAAAGCAAGTGGATGCTGGCTGCAGGCCTCCCCCCCACTTTTTTCCTTGGTCAGCATTGGGCAGAAATAGAAGCCTTTTGCAGCTGTGTTAGTATAGAACCAGAGACCTATGAACCTCAGCACAGCCAATACTAAGCACATGGTCTTGGAAGGCAAACACAAGACACTCATCATTTCAGCTCTTGGAATGCCCAAGACTGCTGGGAAAGAAAGTTAGTTCCTTAATACCAGACAGGTTTTTGGCATAGTTTGGTACCTTAGCCTAATGTAGAACAAGCTGGCAGGGGGATGAGTGGGGGGTGGCAGAAGTTTCTCCCCACTCCCCCATTTCAGCTGTAGTTGTGCAAGTGCTAAATCCCTTCTAACACAAAGAGCTCCTACTTCTGTTGGTTGTATAGAACTACAGTGAGGTTGTCTAACCTTTATCTAGGAGTAGAGTATTGCAGACAAGCTGCTTGACTAAAAACAGTCTAGCAGAAGGTATTGGGAGCATCAAGATTTCACTCTGAACCACCTCACATGCAGTTATGGTTGCCTGCTGTCTTGGGCACCCGTATCTTTTGAAGATGTGACCTCATAGCAATTCCTTCAAGCTGCAAGGGAAAAATACACTAAGATGTCCCTGCAAGAGACTCTAGGTAGTTCTAAGTTGCTAAAAAACCACAGTGACCCTTTGAAACCATAAAGATACAAAGCAAACTGTCTCATCAAGTGAGCAGACAAAAGCTCCCTTGTCCTCTTAAAGACCTGCAGATAAAAGGCATCTGTATTTTCAATGAGGGAATAAACCAAATGTCCAAGGAGTTTTTAACTCTCTATACCCATATGACAAAAAGAATTAGTTTCCCTATCATCAGTTTTTGCAGCACAGAAGTGAATATATGAGCTATGAATGTTAACACTTAATCATCTAGGTTAAGATTAGTGTTTTAAAATAGTCATAAACAAAAGCTATTTAACACAGCTGTAACATCAAATTTGTGGCGTTTCCTGTGCAAATCCTCTCAACTGAGCTAAGGGATTAATCTAAATTTTTTCTCATCTCCCTTCAGACAGTGGTCAACTACAAGAAAACAACATTCTCTCCATTAGAGATGCAGTAAGATTTGTCCAAAACTGAGGCTGTCTGCCTCTGACTATAATGGCACAATGGATGCCTGCAATCTTGTGATTAACTTCATAAACACTCTTCTTCTCTCAGTGCTATACTGCAATTTTTTTTTAAAGGAAAAGTATTTATGACTAGTTAATCATTGTTTAACTTCTCTCTCTTCCACACTGGCTCAAGGGATGGAAATACTAATTTAAAACTTGTTACTAGAGCATAACGTATGTATGTATTGGATATTCCAAGATGAGAGTAGAGATATTTTTGAAAACCCTCAAGCATCCAATATCACAGTAGCAGAGAGAATAAGGACAGTGGCACCTGCTGCATGTCATGACTTTAATGTGTAACTACAGTATGCATACATACAAGAAGTGGGAGAACTAAAGCCCGAGAACTAGAAAGGCTACAAAATACAACACATGGACCAATACATTTACAAAACATTCAAAATCCTTACAAAATGGGCTGTATTGGTCCTTTGTTCTTTTTACAAACTTATACTGTGTGGCCATAGGAGGCAGGTCTAGACTGAGTCCCCCCGCCCCCAAAAATTTACAAGTGTCAGGAAAAAAAATAAAGGAAAAAAGCTATAGGCCTGGTCTCTGGTTTCTTTACTAAAAACAGCTGACCCTCTCCCAAAGGGCCTGAGGTGTTTCTTCAACAGAAAGGAAGAGTGTTCCAACTGCTCCCCTTGTTGTCCATCAGCATTTGATGTGGGTTGAGGAGGGGATAAGGAGGGGAGGGAGAAAAAAACAGCAACCCTGGACCTTAATCCCAACCCCTCCCTCCCTTTGTATTCCATAGTATTCCCTGATTCCAATGCATCCACTTTTTTTTTTTTTAAACAACTTAGTGATTTAAAGGTCCCCCCATCCACATAAAGAAAAATAAGTTACATAATATTTCAACTGGCTTTTCAATATTCTTTGGGAGTCCGGGAATGTCAGGACAAGGAGGTCTGCCCCAGACAAGTGCTTGGCATCAGCAGCTGCCCCTTTATTACAAGCTGGACAGGTGCCAGTTATCCACCTGCCTTTAAACACAATTTGCACAAACCCAAAAAGTCCAGACAAACATCTCGGTTCTGTGTATTTACACTAGTTCAAAATGATATTCACAGCATCTTCTGAATTTTGGCCAAAAGTCAAAAAAATTGTTTTGAAACTTTGGAACGTGCCCACACAGACTTCACCAAAAGGTTTGTTGTGTGTACCCAAATTGGGGGGGCTGGGAAGGTCAGGAAGAGCCTTAAGGATTCTTCTGTTGGTTTGCCAGGACAGGGAACTCCAGGCTGGCACGCTTACAAGATGCAGGTCATCTAACTGGCACCAGTCCCTTCCATCACTTGCTGTGCCTGCTTCTGCCCCATACAGCACTGTGCAACTGACTGGAACAACCTGAACATGGAGAGAAGAAAAAGGTTACATGCAAAGCTAGGTTTCATCCGAGATCTTCATTTTGGAGAACTTCATATCAGGATTTCCTGTCGTGACAGGGAGTCACCATCATCCACCTAACCGAGAACTCAACCAGTACTGTCCAAGCAAGTCAGCACTCTACAGGGCTCACACTCAGTGTGATACACCACACCTAAAAAAAAAATGCAGCAACTGCATCTTTGTTCCTTTGCATGCCACAACCATGTGCCCTGATCTCTGTAACCAGGTGCAAGATGCTTTACTACACAGCAGTTTCATTTGCTACACAGTAAAGTGTCACTGTCCACACGTGCCTGGCAATTAGGCCACAGCAGACTAATTTACTGCGCTGCTGGACAGCCCTGTCAGATACTCATGGTATCCGACTGCAGCTTCCAGACTGAGGAGCAAATTCAGCTTTTTCAAACAAAAGCGCCCTCTACTTCAAAAGGGCAGCACAGCATTAACAAGAAATTCACTCTCAGAAGTTACATGGAAGCCCACTCCCATGAATCATATAGTCACAATTTGGGCAAGGGAGGCAGCACAAGGAAGTTCCAGAACCACAGGACAGGTTTTACTCCTAGTCCTTACAAAGCCTTCTTTGATCTCCAACCATCACTACGCTTGAACCATTTTGTGGAAAAAATCCCCAGTTACTACCTTCCCCTGATTCATAAGCCCACTTAGAAACTTTTGAATATAGAGTAATTAAAACTTATATGATAATCTTTGTGGCCCATTTTCTATGAGTTTACTTGTAATTACATCATACTCACTTCTCAATTTCTGGAGCACAATGGACAAATTCATGGTTCCAGAACTTAAATGCCGGGTTTTTTATCAGCTCAATGAAGGTAATGAGGAGACCCCATGGGTGAGGCCTATTTACAATCAGTCGTTCCAACAGAACCCTGAAATCCACATTAAAACAGATAGGTAAGACTCAGGCTAGATGTTAGCGTATGCAAGACACTGATGTTTACAACTGCAGCACGGCCAAATTGCATTCGACATTCTTGCATGGGGCACTGTTGCTGTTTAACAACACAGCAACTGCCTTCAGGATGAGAAATCTTTAAATTTAAAAGGAAGGAGAATGGAAAGCTGAAATGAGGCAAAAATGTTTCTTTCACCTCGTAATCTGTTCCTGGATAGCCTCAGTGTTGGCCTCTGCAAATAGGTAAAGCATGGTGCAACTGAAATAGTGCGTGTGACTGTTGGGGTACCGCAGCTGATTGGCAATTGCATTCAAGAAAAGATACCGACCTAGAGAAAGGAACAGTAGTTTAGTAGAGACAAGCATAGGTGGCTTTCCTTACACAAGTGGATTCCAAGCTTGTTGGATTCGCATATCAACCCCCCATGCTGACTACCATTGTGACCTTAATTTTTTTGGGGAACCACTGCCTGGGGGATTTGGGATAGGATTGGTTATGAATCTAAATACCACCACCACCCTGAAACACCCAACCACCACTTACAGATTCAGATTTGAGATTTTTATATTGTATAGTTTTAAGAAAATATAAAAATAAT